TATAAATCTTTTTTCGAAGCTTAAAAATAGCAAATTCAATGTAGAAAATCCTATAGTATACATATTCCAAGGGGCCTCAGAACGTTTGATGGATTCTTAAGAGCAACTTTTGTTTCATATCAAAAATCTTTTGCTTAGTATTTCCTGACAATGTAAGATATTCGTCTGGACATGGTTCGAACCACTGCGGCTAACTATTCGGATGCGGCATTGAAAACTCTTAAATTGTACATTAAAAGGGAAATTTTTATTACGTGTGATTTCTATGCAATATTAGGAGGAACAAAAAGTAATTTTGGGAAGGTTGCCACGTGTTTAGAAATTTTATTGAATAAAGTTTTCAAAAAGGAGGGTATTTCTAGACTTGAAGCAGTTTTTTTTTTAATATTTATTTTCTTAAACAGGTTAGGTTAGGTTGAACTGGCTGACTCAACAGGTCTTGTTTATACCAACAACCATCAAGCAGCAATACTATACTCTTTATTGTGTCTCTAGTGCGAAGTACATTGTTGCTCTTTTAGCAAATTGAAGTAGTCTCTTTTGCTTTTTGGCCATTGCCGATTGAAGATCATTTGCTTGCCAAATGCTAAACACCCCAGTTTACGTGCTTCACTGACTTCATATATTCTCTGTATTAACTGCACTTGTTGTCTTCGCCTCGTCACTATTGTAGCTGACAACAGCTTCCGGAATGTCAAGAGCGAAAGAGAGATTACTCATACTTTGGGGAAACGCTGTGCTACTATGCCCTCCACCATATTAAAGCTGCATACAAAAATATTGGCTTAACAATCGCAACGAATAAAAAAGTTGACAAAAATTGCAAAGTAAACAAAATTCTGCTCAAAAATCAAAACTACACTCAGCTGGATTTCTGTCAACAAATAAGAAATGAAATTTGACAATTTCTGCTTAATTCGCAGAGCAAGTGAAAATAACAACCAGCTTTGCAAGTCTCACCGCGCGCGCGACCTTAATGAGTCAGCGGTGATTAAGCAGAAAATGAATTCAAAAAAAAAAAAAAATAAACAAATAAAGCTGAGTGACAGTTAATAGTGATTTAATATATAATTTCAGCTGCTTTTTGCGTTTTATGTAAACGGAAATTTTCCAGAAATTGCGTAAATCATTCTTAGGCACACGCAACAGCAGCAGCGCGTGTATTTGCCTCACGCAGCTCAACGCTGATTTCGAATAATTTGAGTGCAATCAAAATATTCTAGAAACAACCAAGAATCGCATGCAACTTTTGCAGCACAATAAAATTATGGCAAATCAATTGCAAACTTTGTACACACTTCTGCTCGTCGCTGCACTCATTTATTAACTGCGCATGAGTTGCACTCCGTTTACCGCTCAACTTCACTCACAGTTGAGGCATTCAATCACTCGAGTCGAATGAGTCGCTTAGGAGTGTTGAAAATGATTTTGCACCAATAAATGCGTTGCTTAAGCATTACAATAAAATATACACATGCATATGTATGTACATGCATGTGTACATACTATATAAGTATACAATCAAGCTGAGTGCCGTAAACTAGGAGTTGTTGTTGTATATTGGACAATGTTCTCTGGCCTCTGGCCTATGCCTGGTCGGCTGACTTTAATTGCCGCTGTTTTTACTAAATGCGCACAGATTGATACTAGTTTACATTGTTGGTGTGTGTGTGTGTGTGTGCATAAGTTTGTGGCTACTATGCATGTGGCTAGTTAAACCGGTTAAATTTATTTTATTGCAAAATTTATAAAATATTCCATTCGCATACATATTGTGGTAAAAATTAAAGGAAAAACACAGAAATCGGTAAAATAGCATTGGCAAAATTTTTTTGAGCACCTGAACGTACATACACGTACATACAAGTTGCAGGTGCGTAAGTGTGTGCGTATTGCCAACTTGAGGAAAGAAGTGCATTAAAAAATGCAAGCAAATTAATTTTCCAAAAGCTAAAGAACCTTTGATTGATATTTTGAACAGAATTCCGCAAAAACTTTAAAAACTCCAAGCGGAAACTCAAGTCGCTGCCGATCGGTTTGCCCGCAAATGACACAAGGTTAAGTTTTAGTACTAAAACGACCTTTGAACAACAAAAAAAACTTTAAAAGGAATTTAATTGGACAAAACTGATTTACAATAATTATTGATAATTGTATAAAAACCATTTATTTGCGAAAATTTCTTGTGAGAGACATTTTTAATTGATACAGACTTGAAGATATGACAAAAATTTTAACGAGTTGCTGAGTAGAATTGCTATGCAGCTTAACCTCCAAGGCAAATTCACACACGGCAGTAGCAAGAATACAAAAAAACAAAAACAAAAATTTCATATATTTCATTATTTAAAAACGAAAATCGTTCAAAGTATTTTGTTTGTGTAAACGAACGTTCGAAATGTCAAAACCTATTTCTCATGTATTTCGTTTGTGTAATTTGCCGAAATGAAGGGAAGAACAAGCAATTTCATGGTGTGAAAACTTCTCCTCCTATAAATTCGCCTTGCTTAGCTACATTTTCGAAAAAAGCCATCTAAAAAACGGCGCCTTATATATTCAATAATTTTTTTACTAAACCATTTATTTTATGTTTTGAAATATTTCATATTAAGCCATAATTTTTGTTAAGCATTATTTTGTTTTAAGTCTTATTTAATATTTTACAGAATGTCGTATTTAATGTTTTTAAAGTTATATGGCAGGCCATATTTAAAGTAAGATATGCACAAGCCTAGGAATATTTGATTTTGAGTCATATTTAGGATTTTTTTATGGTAAGCCAAATATTATAGTATTGTATATATAGTTATATATTAAGTTAAGCCATATTTTTAGTTTGGGAAATAATTTAAGTTAAGTAGTATTTTATTTTAAGCCTTTTCTATGGCAAGCCATATTCTTTGGTTGTGCTATATTTAATGTTTAGAATTAAAGTATATTTCGTAGTTTTAAACTTGAAGCCATATTTAAGATATTTTCTATGGCATGTCATATTTAATACTTGCCAATGTTTTATGTTACGCCCTTTTTTTGTTTTTATAGCTTATGTCATACTTATGATTTTTTTTTATGATAAGCCGATTAATATGTTTAGCCAAATAATATGTTTAGCTATATTTAATGTTATGAATTAAATTATATTTCGTAATTTTGAACTTGAAGCCATATTTAAGATATTTTCTATGGCATGTCATATTTAATGTTTGCCAATGTTTTATGTTACGCTTTTTTTGTTTTTGAAGTTTATGCCATACTTATGATTTTTTCTATAATAAGCCAAATAATATGTTTAGCCAAATAATATGTTTAGCTATATTTAATGTTATGAATTAAAGTATATTTAGTAATTTCTATCTTGAAGCCATATTTAAGGTATTTTCTATGGCATGTCATATTTAATATTTGCTAATGTTTTATGTTACACCATTATTTTTGGTTGAGCCATAATTAATGTTTATAAGTTATTTATGTTTAGTAGTTTGGATTTTATGATAAGCCAAATAATATGTTTAGCAATATTTTATGTTAGCCATATTTTTAGTTTGAGCCAATCTTAATGTTAAGTAATTACTTTTATTTATTTATATTTGATCTTATGTCATATTTAGGATTTTGATGTTTAGCAACATTTTATGTTTTGCTTTATTTTTAGCAGTTTAGATGTTGAACTATATTTTTTTTAAGTTTACCAAACTATTAAAGTACATACTTACATTTGTCGAGCACTTCTTTATGAAATGTTTCACATTTAGTAATCTTTGTCATATTTTATATCTACGAGCATGTAGATATGTAGTAATTCCCCACTGTAGTCCCAAAAGCTTTTATCCACTCACATTCTGTATTATCAAATACTGTCGAATGAAAATTAAATATGATAGCACCAGGGCAGAATAATATTTAAAAATATTAAATCCTTTAATAAATAAACACATTTGAAAAATGTGTGAGTGTAATAAGGGTAAAAGGGAAATAGAAACATAAACAAAAGCTCTCTAAATAGCTAAAATTTATTTTATTTTTCTCATTATGAGCTGTACTTAGTTTATTAGTGCTTTATTTTAATAAAAAAATAAATTTATGAACAGCTATAGTTTGCCATTTTTTTGCTATGAAGTATTTTATAACGTGCCACATTTTATGTTATGACATATTCGATGGCATGCCATATTTGATGTCATGACATATTTGATGTCATGCCATATTTGATGTCATGCCATATATTTTAATATGACATAAAACATTATGATCAGTCTTATTTTATGTTTGACACAAACTCATAATTCTTACATACACTTTTATACATACATACATACAAATGTGTTTCAATACTGCACGGTCTGCCTTTAATAATATTATACGTAAATTCAACAATTCCTTTAAGTTAATCTATTTATTCTATTTTATTTCTCAATTACTTTACCTTCAACTCTAAAAAAATGCTAGAAAAACATTTGTTGCATATATAGTTTCCGAATTGTTGTTAACAAGCGTGCTTTTGACGCCAACACTCACCTGCATCAAGTGTTTTTTATTTTGTTGTTTATGTATAAAAGTGTGTGCATGGGAAAAATGTCACATTGTAAACATGTCGAATTTGGTAATTAAAAGTGAAACAAGCAGTGACAAATGAAATGATTTTGTGCTTGTCAAGAGTAATTAAATAACTAAAAGGTTGTAAAGAAGTGTTTGCCGAATGCGTTAAATAAAAAAATTGGAAAAAAAATTCTACAGTTATCAGATGTTTAAAAATTGTCTTTCACATGAATACTACCGTAATTAAGACCAAGAACAAAAAATAAAATAAAAATACTTTGTAGTATTCTTTTTTTTTTACAAATGCAATTGATTTTTGTCGAAATTATGTTTTCAAGCGAAACACACAACGTTCAACGTATTTCTGGCAACGCGCTTTCATTTTGGTTTACAAAATCAACGCCAATAAAAGTGCCAAAAATCCATGTAATAATTTGAAAATATTCTTTACCTTTATCTTACAGCCAAAATTCTAGCAACAAATTTACACATGTCGCACGGGTAACCAACGCGCTTACTGGATTTTGAATTTTCCTTACAAAGATTACCAGTAATCAGCAAATTTTAGGCCTATGACGGTTAAATTGCAATAAGTAGAGATTTTTAAATTAAATTATCACTCATTTGTTTGATTGCAAGAGGAGCATAAAACAAATTGGTTTTCAGCGCAGTCAACACAAAAGCACTCAGCGACGACAGCAGCTGACGGAGACGGACTTTTCAACGAACTTAAGCGAAAAAAACATATAAAATATGTTGATAACAGCGTAAGTAGAATGATTAAATCTTCTAAGATTTCTAAAATAAAGGATTTTTATTTAAAAAAAATAACATTATAATAAAAAAAAAATAAAAAAATATATTTGTAATAAAAAAAAATAAAAAATCAATTAAAAATTAAAAAAAAAAACATCTAAAACAAGCGATCGTGAAAAGCATATAAAAAATGTTGAAAACAATATAAATAAAATATTTATATATAATCACATTTAAAATATATATAACAAAGACTCAATTAAAAAAAAAATAATATTGTAATTAAACAACAACAAAAAACTTAATTAAACATATTAATCAAATTTAAATAAAAATACCGAAATTAAAAATTCTGTTTTAATTAAATTAAATTAATTTTTACAGTACTAGCGACACCTCAGTGTGTTTTACTACACCAAAGCGAAATTTCCAAAACAAATTAGGTCCTAGATTTTTTTATATAAAAACATGGTTGACACTGCATTTTTATTTTTCGATCTTGGGTAAATATTAAATGAAGAAAATCTCTTTTTAACAACACCAATGCATTTCCTAACGGCTGAGCGTTTTCTATGAAAATCACCAACAGGAAACTTCAAAGGACTTTTTACGCTTCAGATCCAAAATTGCTTTGCTTCTGCGAGGTTGCACTGAAAAATTTCTGGATTAATTAATTTTCAACCATGTTCAAGTTCTTTCATAAACTTTTTGAAATTTATCTTTATTATTTGATATGTACTCATATAGCAATATTTAATTTATGTTACCACTTCTATAATTAAAATTTTTTAAAACTAATTTTAATTGATTTCAAAAGTATTTTCTTCTTACAGTTTTTATAAACTTTAGCTTAATATCCATATAAATCGTTTATTATTTTAACAAATAGATTGTGCAAAATTCTAAACAGGGTGGCATCCCTTAAAATATTTTCCACCCAACTTCATAATTCCCATTAGTTTGATATCCTAATTTTAACCTTTCATTTAACTTATCGATTTAACGGTATTCAAATCTTCAAACAGGTGGCAACTCCGTTCAAAATTTAATCTTTTTAATTATTTTATTTCCTTTAATCTTATAGTAGTATATAATATATAATATGTAATATATAATATCTGATGGATCTAAGAATTTTTTAAAATCAAAAAAGGTCTCATTAAGCCTTTTAGTTTGATACACATATTGTGGTATTTCATTCATATTGTCTTTTGTAATTATAAACCATTATTGGGGCCAAGCTTTTATCAAAATAAAGAAGTAAGCAGACTAATTGGCAGACGAAAAGAGAGAGATGCCGTAATGTGTGAGTGTGAAGACTTTAAGAAGCTGACCGATAAGAGTAATGCTCGAAAATTTTAAGAAAAGATGCGGCGGTTCAAAGATGGCTTCAAGACCGCAGTATATTCGTATAGAAACCAAGGAGGTAATCTGGAGGTAGTATGTCCATAGCATAATCAGTGTGTATGAGGAAAATTTCTCTAGCCTGTTGAATGACAGTGAAAATAAAACACAAGGAGATGACTAACCCGATTCTCCTATCGATGACGATGGAATAGTTGTTACATTGCCCGAGCTTGAAGAAGCTTGAATAGCAGTCAGCCGCTTGAAGAACAACAAAACGACCAGGGCCGATGGCTTATCGGCTGAATTATTCAAATACAGCGAGGAGGAACTGATAGGCTGCATACATGCGTTTATTTGCAAAATTTGGTCAGATGAGAGCATGCGGGGGAATTGGAACATAAGTTTTATTTGCTCAATCCACAAAAAAGCGGACTCCACGACCTCCTCAATATCGCATTTGGTATTGGTATTTCCAAACAACGAAAGGAAGGAAGAAACAGCGCACGATTGGCAAACTCGGCTATAAACGCGTAAGCGTTGTCTCTGCTATTGAAGAGGAAGACTTAAATCCATATGATTTTTGTAGAAATGAACATTAGGTATTTGGCAACATTTTTCTTTATCAATATTTTATGTTCGGTTAAATTTTTAAATTTTTTGACGTAAATGTTTAAAACTTTGTTGCTTAACATAATTTTATTTTAAGCAACATTTTACGCTCAGCAACACTGTTTCTTTCTCTTGCCTTTTTCGCCATTTTTTATATTGATTCATTATCAGTATCGCCTCAAGCCTTTTCCTCCTCCTTCAAATATTTTTGTGAGGTAGTAAAAAATAAAATAAAATAAAATTAACTCCCCTTGAATTTGTCTGTTCAGAAAAAATTCAAATTTTACATAATATTTATGTATTTATTTATTCGTCAAATTCATTTTCTTTTTGTTGTAATTCCGATTTTTCGCTGTTTGCGCTTTGTAATTTAAATATTTGCGGTCGAAGTCGCGCCCATTGTTGTAGGTGTTGAAAGGTTTACCAAATGAGCGTTTGTCTCGTTGTCCATTTGTAGGTCAGATAGAAAGGTAATTGTACAGATCAAATGATTGTTGGTGGAAAATGTGTCGAAAACGTGCTGATTAAAATAGTTTTTTGGCTTTTACGCGAATTCATTGAGCGATATTTTTTTTTGTTTTTAGCTAAAACTTTAACGAAAGGGCAAACGAAGATTTTTAATGCGCTGTGGGATATAAATTTGAGTAATTTTTTTTTTGCTTTGTTGACCTAATGTTTTTAGGTATTTGAGAGAAATATTGCTTAAATATATGAAATTTATAAATATGTTATTATTATTTTTTTATAGCGAGATTTTTTTATTTACTTAATAAAAAACTTTAATTTCTTACATCTCTATCTTCAAGCAAGAGCACCTGACACATAGAAAACATTCAAGAAAAATTACAATAAAATAAAAATAAAACTCAAACATGCCAAAAGTTTATTTCAAAATTTTTGTAAATACATACATATACATTCTTAAATTTTTTTTAATTCTCAAAAGATACAAATCAATGATTTCCGTAAAAACTTCGCGCATGTGCAACCAATAAAATTAATTTCTACGCAAAAAAACATTCTTTCCGAAAAAGACGCAATAAAGCCATCACTACATCGGCATACATACATATATATGTATAAATATGCGTGTATGCATACATATATGTAAATGTATATAAAACTAATCTAATAAATGTGAATCTTATTAAACAACAATTTTTTATTACACTTCGTTAGTGGAGTCTTTCAAATATAAAACTTCCTAATTTACATAAATTTGTGTCGCATAAATATATGTACGTACTGATAAATGTATATACGTGTATATTTACCTTTGTGACGATCGTGCCATAAATATCTGTATTTTTACGCCTATCACGTGCCAATAAAAATAAAATCGCATAGCTTCGCCGACGCATGTGCAGAAAAAATGTGGATTTTATCTTCCCTTGCTGTTGGACTGGCGTACTTTCGGGAAATCCCGTTGTACCCGATTTGTCGAGGAGACGGTAAGCTCGTTAATTACTATATCCATCAGCAAGTCTTTGGAAAATTAAAATTTTTTAAGATTTTCGATTTTTTTTTTGTAAACATAAAACACAGCTAAAGAAAAAAAATATTTCTAGGCTCAAGTAATGTAGGGACATTCTATCTGATATGAACTAATGCTAACCATCCACAGATATAGCGATTTTTAAAAGGGGAAAACAACTAAATCACATTTTATTGAATATACAGTTTTCGACACAAAATATCACTAAGCGCCTAATTTGGCATTTCATATGGCTTAACACAATATATTGTCAGACATGAAATAATATCATTCAGATATTATTTTCTAAAGCAGGAAATACGTAATACTTTGTATTGTTTTTATGTTATGCAAAAATTAATGTATATTATTTTATATTAATTTCTGGTAAACTATATTTTATGTTAATTTATGGAAAATTATGTCCTACCATAAAATATCGCTTTCCAAATATTATGGCGTGACATAAAATATAGTTTACCAGAAATTAGCATAAAATAATAATTTTCCATAAATTATGTCCAACCATAAAATATCGCTTCCCATATATTATGGCGTAACATAAAATATAGTTTACCAGAAATTAACATAAAATACTGTACATTAATTTTTGCATAACATTAAAAAAAAGTATTAAGTATTTCCTATAAAATTTACACTACAGAGAATTTCTCCATCCTATTTACACGCACGAGAATATAAACTCGGTGTCTAATGTGAAACACTTGATGATTGTCTTTTTTGTGAAAAACAATAAAAATTTCTGTGTAAGTGCGAGCGCTGGTAGACATAGGAGTTAAATTGTTTCTATTAAATGATGAGGGTGTACACGCCTCAGGAACGAGTAAAGCATGCAAATATATTAATGTGAATATATGTACATATATATACATATGTGTACGTATGTGTTTATTAACATATGAAAATATTTATCTTCATTAATGTACACTTTTTTTTTTAGTTACGTACGTAGAAATATATGCCTGTATACATATAATATGTACATATAAGATATGAGATTTCAAACCTCACCTCATTTGCCGGTATTTACACGTTGTATAATTTGCAAACAAAGTTGTGCGCACATACACTCACTCGCATTTATAATACTATCTACTTGAATGTATACTATATGTATTTTTAATTAAATATTTATAAGCAGTGCTGCTTCTAATGTTAAATGTAGTAGGTATGTAATTTTGTGGAACAATTCTTATTTTGAATTTTTTTTATTTATTTATTTATTTTTTTATTATTATTAAATGGCAACGTCGTGACTTCAAACAAAAAGTTTTGCCAAAAAAATACATAAATTTTTTTTCTATTCAATTTTTAATTTTAAATTTGCAACACACTGATTCTTAATGGCTGTACCAAGCCTTGAGGTTCTCGATTTGGCATACAAAAAGTGTCATGTGCTGGACGCCAAAAATGGTAGCGACTTAATAATTTCAATTGCTCATATATGTTTGTGCATATATATATATATATATATGAAAATGTTTGTTAATATGCAAATCAGAATTTTTAATGTATTTTAATGATATTTGTTGAGCAATTTTTTCATTCTAAAATTTATAA